GAAGCATACTGTAGTACCTTTTTGACACTTACATATATTAAATAAATATTAGTTTTTGTAAGCAACAAATCAGCAAAAACAATACAAAACTAGTACCAAGCCACACAATTATTTACATGTCAATAATACAACCTCATTAGTGATCTGAGGCTGAGGATTTGTTGGGATGGTACTTCTGAATTTCACGAAGAAATTCACGAAAATTAGAACATGTTCTAATTCGTAAAGAACTTCATGGATAAATTCATGAAGCTATTTGACAACAGATTTGATACATTAATTACACTTGCTTCACGAAGCGACTTCATGAATTAATTCATGAATAAATTCACACAGTAAAACAGCCAGGTATAATAAATCACTAACTTATTCAGGAATGTATGTATTAAAATAGGGTGCAACTGAAATGTTTAGCCAAACTTTAATGGAGAATTCTGCACCACAAATTAATAAAAAAAAAGTTTATCCAAATGCAGTGTCCTCGGAAACGCTTTATTTTCGAGATACAGGGTGTTCAAAATTTCAAGTTGCAAAATACAATTAGGTAAAACTATATAAATATTTTGTTTCAATCATGCGTAATGTGATTACTTGAATTAATATTATTTAAAAAAAAAGATGTCATGACATTTTTAACAATAATTAATAAATCAATATTATATAGATACAACATTTTGTCATTTGTCTTGGAAAAGACGCTTCCTAGAAATACACAAACAAATGTTGTTCTATCACAATTTGAAATATCTGATTTTTAGAAGAAATAATTTTAGCACAATTACTAAATCTGCCCCAAAACTATGCGCGTATGTTGAAAATAACAACATATACATACATTTCTAGATAATCAGAAGCTACATCACAAGCACCATATTTAAAAAAAATAGCTTCAACCATTTTCTTGTAGTTTAAAAAACATCAAAATATGCCATTAAAGTTTGGTGAATAATTTTAATTACATCCTTTTTAAAAAATTTCTTCAGTATATGTAAATAATTATAATTTTTATTAAGAGTAAAGGCAGCAAGGTATATGATCTTTAATGACTTTAATTGAACATAGATTTTAACAATAAAGGCAATAAGCTACATGACTATTGATAAACTATCGAAGTAATTTTCAAAATGATGTGTTTTTCTAAAAAATGTTTCGAAATCTATGTTATTAGTAAAATTTTCATTTTTTTCTAATAAAGCCTCAAATCAAATTAGAAATACTCATACTTAAACAATTGAAAAAACTGGAGGCGTACATATTTTTTTAATTAATGTATATTCTACTTTCCACGGGGGCAATCAAAATCTAGTTTCGACCAGAACATGCTTTCAAATAAAGTATTTGTGTGTTAAAAATTAGGAAAGAATTCGTTTGTGAGATATTCTTTTTTATTTTCACCATCCAGTAGCCTAGATGTTTAGGACATATATTTATAAGATGATTTTTTCATAAAAAACATAAACTACCTATTAACCTATCCCTGTATAAAAAATATAACTTAGTGTTAATTATTTACGTTTGCTTGTTTTAAAGTTAATTAAAACAGTACATGTTTCGTGTTCTACTTTGAACTAATACTTTTTTGTCTACAACTTCAAAGTAACAAGTATCGAATTTCAACATTCACAGAGAGAAGGCATGGAGAGAGTTAACAGCCTACGAAAAGATTTTACCTTTAAAAGAACATTCGTTAATTAATTTGCCACCAGTTAAGAATTGATTACTTATTGGAAAAGTTTGTTTTCTCTTCGTTCACTGTGGCTATTCAAGTTAAGAAGTTCTACTTTTAAGAAAATACCATTAGTACCTTTATCAAAGGGGTTCTATCCCACAGATAGTGCGTTGATTTACTTCCTGAATGTATTGTTCAATTACTTAATTCTAAAACTTGACTTTCTTTCCTAAAATACGAAACTTATCTATAATCTGTTACCCGTTTGCGAACCCTCACATTAAAACGGCATGCTTGATAATTATTTGAATTTACATTTCAACTATCTTAAAAGGAAAGTGGGAACAGAACAATGAAGAGGAGGAAGACTTGAGAGGGCGAATTATTATTATTACAAAATAGGTTAGGGTAGAGGACTTACGTCCTATTATACCCAAAATTAACAAAATATGTACAGCACAATAGGTATAATAAACATATTAAAGAATTAAATTAAAACTACTAAAACTATTACAAAAGGTGAGCATCCAGTCTACTTTTAAATGAATTAAGCGATGGTGCACCAATTATTGAAGCCGGTAAATTGTTCCAAATTGTAAAAATTATGTTGGACAGGAAGTATTGCCTAGCTCTAGATTTAACATTTTCTTTTTTTAACTTTAATTCATGACCACGGAGGCGATCATCAGAATTTAACGAGTAGATTGAAGACAATTTCCCGAAATTAAATTTAAGAATTTTAAAAGTCATAATTAAATCACCTCGAAGGCGACGCTGCTGGTAGTCTGTGAGATGGGCCATGGAAAGTCGTTCCACATAGGAAGGTCGAATTCGTCCAAAAGAAAGCCTGGTCGCAGAGCGTTGAACACTTTCTAAGGATTGCTAGTCTCGAATGAGATCAGGATACCATACAGAACCAGCGTACTCAAGAATTGGCCTCACATAACTACAGTACAGTTTACACGACACATCAAATGATAAATTAGTGAACGACTTTCACAGTAAATAGAGTTTAGAGTTAGCACGCTTACAAAGTTTACATGATCTGACCATGATAAATTGGAGTTTATTATGGCACCTAAGTCATTATGAGAAGTCACTGTTGTTAGCACTTGTCCATGTAAGGAATACCCACAATTGGGATTTCTACGACCGATATGGATAACAACACACTTGTCTGCATTTAGCGGAAGTAGCCATTTATCGCACCAGTAGGCAATGAAAACTCGTTAGAGGGACACATGGTCACTATCAGGATTGGCGTATAGTTTAGTATCGTCTGCGTAGAAAGATACCTTATTCTTGACGTGATATTGAATGTCACTTGCATATATAATAAACAATAGGGGCCCTAAAACTGAACCCTGAGGTATGCCGCTGAGGACCAGTCTATCGCCGGAGAAAGATTCACCTACCCTCACTCTAAAGTATCTATTTGTTAGAAAACTGTTGATCCATTGATGTAAGGTACCGCGAACGCCCACATGGTCCAGTCTGTGTAAAAGTCTTCTCCTTGGCACCCTATCAAAATCTTTTGAAAATTCAAGGTAGGTATATTACATCTATATGATCACTATTGTCTAGAGCGAGAGACCAGTCGTTTACACAGTGGATTAGGTTTGTTAATGTGGAACGATTTCTAATAAATCCATGTTGCTGTGCAGAAATAACGTTTTCTTGTAGTAAGAAATCTGTCATAACCTCCACAATTCCATAATTTTATACAAATTGTGGGTAAAAGACTGATTGGGCGGTAGTTATTGGGGTCCAATTTGTCTCCTTTCTTGAAGATTAGTGTAACTGAAGCCTGTTTCTACATGGATGGTACAAAACTGCTTGAAAATGACTCGGACATAATCATAGACAAAGACAAGATAAGGGCATCAACACATTTTAGAAGGATATAAGGCGATAAGCCATCCAAACCAGGGGAAGCACATTTTCGTAGTTTCATCAAGTGCTTTTTAACTATATCTGGAGTGAATTCAATGTTCTCCAAACAGGACACAACAAGTGGTCCGGTAATAAGTGGAAGAGGATCACAAGAAGATTCATCAGTATAAACTTTGGAGAAGGCGAGAAAAAGTATTTCCGAAGTGTCTTGGTTATTATAACATATTTCGCCAACAGATGGGTTCTGCGACTGTTAAGTGACCAACACAAAGAAACTGTATGATTACTCTGAAATTGTTTTTGGTTGGTTACCAAAATAAGGGTCGAATCATCACAGCAGATGAAACGTGGGTTTAGCATCTTAACGATAAACACTTAGTGGAGGGACATCATACCCATTTATTGATTAAACAAAAAAAATCAAGCTGACCCTGTCAAATTCTGGGTTAAGAAGGATATTTTGTTGGTTGGTTTTGTTATCATTGGTCAAACAACAAATGCAGATAATTATTATCAAATTCTTCGACAGTTGACACGTACCTGTAAAGAACTGCGAACCAAAGGTGAAGGTGACTTTTGCATGAAAATTTCGCCCACATGTCGTGAACACACATTTCAAGATAATATGAATCATCGGATATGTAAGTAGTTGAGAGGTTTTAATTTAAGCTTTAAGCTTTTCTTTTGGATAAAAGCAGTTTGAATGCAGTGATCAATTATTAAAATACTGCAAGTAAATGGTTGTGGTAATAAACGAAAGAGTTCTACGAAGAACTAGTAATCAAAAACGAATGCAGATGAATATGTTTACTATGTATATAAGAATACATGCATATTTTTATTAATTAAATAGTTTTTGTCTAAAACAGGTAATATCTAGATTCTGCATATTTCTCATTGTTCAAAAATAAAGTAACAAGAAGTATATCTGGTCTTTTATTTTTTTTATAAATATGAATAATTAAAATGGTAAATAATAAACAAGTAAAAATTAAGGCATGTTAAGTTTTAAATGAACTCCTCAGTTTAGAGCTTCTTAACTTCGTTAATTGAGATATAAAGCATCCCGCACGGTCTTTTTTTACTTGAAATCTTTTAAATTATGTAAAACTATTATATTCTTTAAAAATGCCATTTTGATAAATATTTCTTGAATGCAAATTTCAGTTGTTTTTTGGTTCAATATTAGGTATATTAATTAGCAAAAAAACATTACATTACATTTACATTACTTTGTTGTATCTTTAACAATATCGAATAGTCCTGTGTTTTGAGATATTTTGCATACAGTACAGAAAATTACAGTGAGTTGTCTTTGCAAAGAAGTATTGTCAAGATTATATTACCCGTTAATGAAAATCAAGTATTATATGGAGACCAAATACTAGTAAATAATTTCCAAAATAAAACAGGTTATTCAGAAGTAATTCATTTCCAGGCATCATTGCCAGAACAAGACAGGCACGATACCAGCATGATCTACAAGAAGATGACTTTAAAGGAATTAAAATTATATGTCCCGCAAATAAAATGGTTAGAATACTTCAGATCATTTCTCGATGTTAACATAACAGAGGATGAAAATGTAGTCGCATATGGATTATCATATTTTATTGAAATGGGTAAAATTATTTCTGAAACAGATAGGCGGTAAGTACAAAGTCAACTTATTTTCTTTTGTAAAATGTTTGTTACGCGATTGACATTTGTTGTACAGAGCCTTCATAAATAATTACAAGTCACGTGACCCCCGAACTTTGGCAACCAATATTGCACAGCTGGTACTGTCAACTAAAACTTCCTAAATCTTGGCGTCACCAATGTTAATGACAATGAACAATGACAAATCGTTACATCTACGCTGGAGATAATGCTATCGCTGATTGGTTGAATAAAATATCGTGATAAATTACACCAACCACAAGCCGGTTAAAAAGAATGTTTTGTTTGAATAATTTTTAATATTACCGAAATTTAATTGCCAACGTGAAGGAAATTACAATGCTGTTCCAAACAAAATTACTGATCACGTGACTTGTAATTATTTATACAGACCCCGTAGTTTTCAAGTGTTCTTTATTGATTACTTTGCTAAAAACTTTTAGTTCAACAATACAGGGAGTGGCGTGTATAAAATATAAAAATTAAACTACAGCTTCCTAACGATATTTATAATAGAAAAGTCTTATACGAAAAAGTTCTATTTTTGCGTTTTTTTTTTTGTAAATTAAAGTTCAATTATGGATCAAAATATTTTCTCTGGAACGGTCCTGTCCGTGTGCTGTACGATGAGTTACGTGCTGTAGACCAGCCGCGTAAACAAATGGTCGTTGAAAGATGGAAAAACATTTCTCAATTTTTGGGGAATTTTTCAATGCAAAAGAAACTAAGAAAAATACATATTTAAAAAAACTGATATTTTCTTATTATAATAATTAATAGTAATTAATTAATTACTTACTAACTGCATGTACTAAACAAACTCCATTAAAATTTGTAACAAAATGAAATAAAACCTACCATTTCTAGAGAAAATATTGAAATTGATCCCCATTAACGCGGATACAGGCATGGCACCCAATTTTAGCGAATATTTTTCCAAATTCCAAGTAAGCATTCCCCTAATTGTGTCAGCAACCGTATACGGTTTCGCAATTCTTCCACCATAGCAATTGGAGTATTGTAAACCAATGACTTCAAGTGACTCCAAAGATAAAAGTCCATTGGAGTTAGATCGGGTGACTGAAATGGCCACGGCACAGGATCAAAGCGTCCAATCCATCGCTGAGGAAACATGTGTGCCCGAACTTGTAATGTCACATCGTTCAATAATTCAGGCAACCGGTTCTCCAAAGAGTCAGTCCATTTAGTCATCCTTAAAAGAAATAGGGACCCACAAATACATCGCCTATTATGCCAGTCCAACCATTTACCGAGCGAGAACCGATGTTGAAAATGAGTTTCCCTAATCGTGTAAGGATTTTCATCGGCCCATATGTGCATATTATAGAAATTCACTTCATCAGGGGTAAATGTCGCCTCATCTGTTAAACAAACATAAGCACGAAAGTCTACTTGATTCTGCAAAAACTCATTCGTTGATCACAATCCGGGGGTAAAATCTGTTGAACTGGTTGTAGATTATAGAGGTACAACAGCTGGCGCCCAAAGGTGCGATGTACGGTACGAGATGAGGTTCCTACTTGCTGTGCGAGTCGTCGAGTACTAATGGTGGGGCCTTCGTCAAGATTTTCCAACACTGCTTCTTCAACATTAAGGTTCACTTGCTGACCACGTCCTTCTCCTCGAGGAATAACACTTCCCGTATCACGCAGCCGGTGAACGCACTGTAGGATTGTATTTCCACATGGAGGGTGAGCTGTGGCCATCGTTCTCAGTAGTTCTAGTTGCCGCGAGTGCATTTTCTCCGGATGCACCATACACTAACACCATATTGACACGTTCGGAAATAGTAAATGCATAGTTTTCTCGGTTCATTGTAAAACTAGTATGTGCACAAACTAAAAAATTAAGCAAAGTAAGAAATAAGAATTCAATACAAATACAAAATCAGTTGACTGCACAAATTATTTGACAATGTAACCTAACCTTCTTTTAGTATTACTAGTGAGGGTTGCTTTCGCTGTACAGCAAGAAATAAAACGCTTTCTCAACGGTAATAATAAACTGTTTTATTGAAAACTAAATTGTGGAAAAAGACGTGTTGACGGTTTGAGGGTTAGCTGGAGAATCGTTGGAGAGTGCCTTGTAGTTGAAGTCGGTCGTTCATGGGTACGCGTCTGGTGACCGGCGCCAGCAGCCCTTCTTGGAACGCTGGTTCGTCCGGCGGCGTCCTGCGGCGCTTTTGACGTTGTGCTTTCAAATATGGGTCACTTGCAAACATGTGTACCCACACAACCCCCTGCCAGTATGGATGCCATCACGGAACTTGCAGTCGGTCAGGGAAACGGACCCTTCTACCGGACCTAGTGGTAATTGCCTTGGGTGTGGTTGGCACGGATAATGGGGCAGAAGTTGATGGAAGGCTATTGTTCTCGTTCCTGGTATCTGTCGCATCATTCAAACAATACGCCGGTTTGACTCTGTCTATGGACACTTTAACTTCACGACCACGTACTAGCACCGTGAATGTTTTGTCGTCGCGTTTAATCACTGTAAACGGACCATCATATGGGTTCTGTAGTTGTGTTTTAACGCCGTCCGCACGCACAAACACATGTGTCGCTGTTGCCAAGTCTTTAAAATCGAATGGCGTCTTGTCGCCATGGCGTTTAACTGCGGCTAGACGTAAGCTTTCCATATGATGTCTGAGGTCCTTAACAAAATTCGCTTCGGTGCTGAGCTCGTCCTTTGTCCTGCGGGAATGAAGAAATTCTCCGGGTAGGCGTAGATGTTGTCCGTACACCATCTCGGCCGCGGTAGCTTGCATGTCTTCTTTCCATGCTGCACGTATTCCCAATAGCACAGTGGGAAGAATGCTAGTCCATCGATCGTTTTGGTGGCATTTTATTGCTGCTTTTAATTGGCGGTGAAAACGCTCTACCATGCCATTTGCTGCTGGGTGATATGCGGTGGTTCGGAGATGAGTCGTACCTAGTAAACTATTCAGGCGTCTGAATAGGTGCGATTCGAACTGTCGACCCTGATCTGTCGTTATTCGCAAGGGTGATCCAAATCTGCATATCCAATTAGCATATAAAGCGCGAGCTACAGTTTCTGCCTCCTGGTTCTCTAGCGGGATTGCTTCTGGCCACCTGGTGAAACGGTCTACGCAGGTTAAGCAGTAGCGGTAGCCCTCGGATGGCGGCATCACGACAATATCCACGTGGATATGTTCGAATCTCGTCGACGAAGGTTGAAATGAACCTGTCGGAGAAGTCACGTGTCGTGTTACCTTTGCGCGCTGACATTCGACGCAGCAACGTGCCCATTGTCTGCTATCACGCTTTATTGACGGCCAGACGAAGCGTTGCATAAGGAGCTTGACTGTGGCGTTAATTCCGGGATGCGAAAGACCATGCATCGAGTCGAACACTACTCTACGAAATGGCTTGGTGATAAACGGCCGGGCCACGTCCGTAGATACGTCACAAAATACAGTCGCATTCGTGTCAGGTATTTTGATCCGCTTTAGTGTGAGGCCGTGTTGTCCGTCGATGTACTCCTTGATTTCGTCGTCATTTTGTTGCGATGCTGCGAGTGCCTCATAGTCCAAAGTCGCGCGTATTTCGTTTACCCTGGACAAGGCATCCGCTACAACGTTCTCGCGACCAGCCATGTGACGAATGTCTGTCGTAAACTGGCCAATGAAGTCTAGATAGCGGAATTGTCGCGGTGTGCACTGACTCGATTTTTTCGCGAAGGCAAACGTAAGAGGCTTATGGTCGGTGTAAATCGCGAATGTTCTTGCCTCGACCATATGCCGGAAGTATTTAACTGCTTCGTAAATCGCAAGAAGTTCGCGGTCGTAAGCAGCGTATTTGCACTGAGCTGGGTTAAGTTTTCTGGAAAAATACCCTAGCGGTTCCCAATCGTTCTCAACTTTTTGTTGCACAACGGCACCAATTGCAAAGTCAGAAGCGTCACACACTAGAGCAATTTGCGTATTTTCCCCGGGGTGCGCGAGTAAAGCTGCCTGTGCTAAGCTTTCTTTAGCCGCCACGAAAGCACTTTTCGCGTTTTCTGTCCAATTTATGGGTGCTTTCCCTTTCACATCCCCTTTAAGCAGGTCATTCAGTGGCGCCTGGGTACCTGCTGCGTTGGGTACGAACCGTCGGTAAAAGTTAAGGGCGCCAAGGAATTGTCGTAATTGCTTTATTGTCGTAGGCAGCGGGTAGTCTTTTATTGCCTCGACCTTTCCGGGCAGCGGACGCGTGCCCTCACTTGACACCAGATAACCGAGGAATTTCACTTCGCTTTGTCCGAACACGCACTTTGCGGAGTTAATTACGACGCCGTACTTCTGCAGCCGCTGGAACAGTGTTTCCAGGTGACGTAGGTGTTCCTCTTCAGACGATGAAGCTACAAAGATGTCGTCGATGTACGCATAGCAGAAATCCAAGTCGCGTACTTTTACTGTTCAAATCACGTCGGGGTCACCACTTGAGGGTTGCTTTCGCTGTACAGCAAGAAATAAAACGCTTTCTCAACGGTAATAATAAACTGTTTTATTGAAAACTAAATTGTGGAAAAAGACGTGTTGACGGTTTGAGGGTTAGCTGGAGAATCGTTGGAGAGTGCCTTGTAGTTGAAGTCGGTCGTTCAAGGGTACGCGTCTGGTGACCGGCGCCAGCAGCCCTTCTTGGAACGCTGGTTCGTCCGGCGGCGTCCTGCGGCGCTTTTGACGTTGTGCTTTCAAATATGGGTCACTTGCAAACATGTGTACCCACACTAGTATTAGACTATACCGACTTAAATTATAAGGTTGCATCTCAGGTCGCATAAAAACATTTCCAAGATTTTTAATATATAACACAGGGTCGGCCGTCATTTTCGTTGAATAAATTAATTTACAAAAAAAAACGCGAAGATAGAACTTTTTCGTATATGACTTTTCTATTACAAATATCATCAGGAAGCTGTAGTTTAATTTTTATAGATTGTGCACGCCACACCCCGTTTAATATTGAACGATTACCAACTTCAAAATTATTCTAATTAAAAAACTATTGCAGGGGGGTACTTAAGTTTAGAATATGGATGGGATATTGATCAGTTGGATAAAATCGACAATTGGGATGGGTCAAATAAAAAATTATTGTTATTTCTGTTTCAAGCTATAATTATCATAAATAGGCTTAATTTTTTTTCATCAGAAGAATCCATGAATAGATCACCGAAGCACGCCTTTTCTAAATATCATGTTCCATGTAGTCTCTATACAGGGACATCCTTTATATTAGTTATTATTTTTTCATTTGACATTTGTTTTGTTTCTTATGTTGATTAACGTTTTAATTAATCACGGTGAGATTCTCATATTTACTTTTTTTGAGTAATATAGAGGGTAATATCGACCAATGACTGATAAAGTATAACCATGTAGGTATATAGAAATACAAAAAGCAAAAATAAAAATCCCACAGCTTGCAGAGCAGGTCATTTGTTATTATATTTAAATATATAATATAAAACCTTCTTCAAATAACTATATTTGCAAACATTTTTTGCACAGAAGATACCTTCCCTACTATTAAGGCATCATGTCTTTGTTACTTCTACTACCAATTCTATTATTGATATGCGCATGTCGAGATTTGGTTAAGTTGCAGAAACAGAAACTTTCTAGAAAAACATACAGCCACAATCATCTTACATAATTTATCATAACGATATCTGTTTAAGCAAACCTCAATGTAAAAAAAATTGCTAAGATTGTGAATAATTATAATTACAAATTCCTGACAATTGTATTGTATTTCGTGTACAAGCTTCACCGCAGTCATTTTGCCCTCGAGATGCGCAAATCAAGAAGAGATTGACAAAGACAGGAGACCTTAATAATAGGGCAGTAGGTTCAGAATGAGCCCCGGTGCTAGTCTGGTAATGTTGCTAGTGCGCATATGAAACTCGCGGATAAGATGATTTTGGTCACGCTGTAGGACCGCACGCCAGAAAAGTTCAAAGTAAACTAAAATCTGGAACAAAAAAATCTGTTTTAAAGTCATTTAACTTATTTTAATCTTTCGCTTTCAAAGTAATAATATATAATAAAACATAGAGTATCGATGATGCATCTGAAGCTGAAATGAAATTGTTTGAGAATTTTCCGCTTGAAAGTCTTCATTAATACAAATTTTTATTTAAATATTTGTTGATTTATTTACCTTTTGCAGAATAATTCACAATTACGTCTTATGGCGGTTAGTGATGTCCCTTTCAGCACATATGGTTGACGATTATCAGAGAGAAAGAGTGGAATTCAGGAAAATCCTACAAGGAGTCCTCAGCGACCGACACCGTTGGTCGCAATGCGTCGAATGGACAAATAAAAAGATGGGAATGGCTGTTGGTGCATTATTTATAAGAGATAATTTTAATCATGAAAGCAAGGTAAGCATCTTCGTCAGTATGAATATACTTAAGTAGGTATATACTTTAAATGAATCCAGACATTAAAAAATAGTAAATATTAAATTTCAGACTTTCCTAAATTTTCATTAAATAAAATATGTGTATCTCTGTACCAAATATTTAGTTATTTGTGGGACTGTTGCTGTTTGTAATATAATATCCGTTGAAACATTAAACTGATTATTACCAAAAAACTGATTTACTAAATTTTACTGAATTGTTTAGGAAACCGCTCTTCAAATGATTCACACTATAAGAGAAGCATTTAATGAATTATTAGCCGAAAATCATTGGATGGACGATGAAACTAGGGCAGTAGCTAAAGAAAAAGCAGATGCAATCAATGAAAGAATCGGTTATCCAAAGCTTATAACCGATAAAGTAGAACTAACTAAAGAATATGCCGCGGTAAGCTTCCTTCAAACATTTTTTTCATTATGAACTATTCTTCAAAACATTACATGTTTTTAATAAAATACACCGCAAAGCATTAAGCTGAAAACTTATATACTTTTGTTATTAACATTTTTAGAATTCTTTAAAAAAGCACCTAAATTTTACTTTGATACTAAATGTCTTATATCAGTGATTTGTTTGCAGTTAAATATCACCAAGTATGAATTTCTGAGAAATTTGCTTAATATACTTAAGTTTGAAGCTGAGCAAAATCTGAGAAAGCTAAGGCAATCGGTTGACAAAAATAAGTGGTCCACTGAACCAGCAGTTGTAAATGCTTTCTATAATCCTAATAAAAATGATATAGGTATGTAAAAAATATAATATTTGGGTATTAAATGTTGTAATACGTTTTTTTTTCATAGTTTTTCCTGCTGGCATTCTACAGCCATTGTTTTACAGTCAACATTTTCCAAAGTCATTAAATTATGGAGGAATAGGCGTTGTAATTGGTCACGAAATTACTCACGGATTCGATGACAAAGGTAAGTAGTAATTTATCAATCTTCAATATTATGATACAGCTTGATCAAACACGTTTTGTCCGCGAGATACGCAAATCAAGAAGAGAGTCCGCAGTAGGAGTGACAAAGACAGGAGACCTTAATAGTAGAGCCGGTATCTTCTGTGCAAAAATTTTACTTAGGTCTGGTAAATATAGCTAAATATATTATGAGTATATATTTATACGGGGTGCTTCACAACTTATCCAAAAAAATTTGGGAGTAGATGCGGCATGAGAAATGGAGTCAATATTGTAAAAAAAAAAATTGTAAAATCCTTATAGTTTCTGAGAAAAAAATTATTGAAGTTATAGCACATTACCACTACATAGCTGGACAACTGTAGTCTCTAGAGTCATTCGCAATAGAGAGCCATGTAAGAAGTGGATCTTATTTGTGGAAGGGCGAAATGGGCGGTGACTATTAGACGCCTTCAATACAGCCATCTTCCTCTACCGCAAGGATTTCTATGACTTACTTTATCGCTCTCACGTAACGGCCGATGAACCATGGGGATTTTCCCACTCTGTATACCCTCATTCTTCTACAAAAGGCGACATCTTAAGGCGGATATCCATTTTTGTGCCAAATGCCCCGTAACGTAACACCCAACATGTTACGTTACAGCTAGTGGAGACGGAAAATTGTTGCATGGTACGTGTAACAAATTTGACACACGTAACTAATCCTGGACCATCAGTTGACGGTTTTTAGTCGTCGCATCAAAGGAATGCAACAGTACTTTCTGCCACATGTTGAGACGAAGTTACCCTTTTGGCCGTAACGTTGCCTATTGCACATGTGATTTTGTCTTATTTTTTGTTTCGTCAGTCTTTTGTATATGGTTTGGGGTCAGTCTGTTTTCTGCAGTGACTAGGAAGAATGTGTTTTTCTGTGTTTGTGCCATGGAGTGGATTTCCGTTTCTTATTCTTCAAAATTGTATGATGAATAAAAATATATGACGCTGCTGCTAACTACAATTGCAGTGACGAATCCATTATTGCAGTCAGGTTCATACTGCGAGTTTATGTTCCTGTGTCGTTTCGTGACCAAACCACACATACTTTCGCTGCGAACCGTGTCACCTTTTGCAACAGGCCGTAACATGTTCGTTGTTACGTTGCGGAGCATTGCCACAAGTGGATACCCGCCATTAGGGTGGAATCTATTAAAAATCATCAAAGCATGATTCCCTGGAAATTATGGTAAAGCTAAAGTTATTTATTTATCTAAGATGTATCATCATAGGCTTGTTTTGGTTCTGTCAGCGGACACTCCTAGAACAGTTCAAAATAGTTACCCAAGTGTATTGTCAGAACCTATGTCTTGGCTGTCAGATGTTCTTATGAATGGAATGGTCAACTAATTTGAACCGTCCTAGAACTGTTCTCTGTCGGAACCAAAACAAATCTCTCATATTTGTATTAAAAACTGTGTGAACATCAATACGCATACTAACAGAATACAAGAAGTCGGTAGATGACAAAGAGAATACCAATATTTTTAAATACAGCAGAATCATTTAACAATGTTACAGGTTACATCATTAAAAAGAGCTGTTAAAGTTAGAAAAGTGGAACCCAATATTTGCAAGTGGCTTAAAACTAACCTTATAAATAGGACTATTGTGGCTAGTCTAAGGGTGAATACAAGTTAATGCCTAGAGAGTTGAGACTTCGCTCTTAGGGCACTTCCAGAGGTGGTGTTGCTAGCTTGTGCATAATTTTCCTGTGGTTGAGGAAAAAATAAATTTTGTAACGTCACATTCGGGCACTTTGTTACAAAATATCTCATTTCCGAGTCTAGAACAGTAGATAAATTTATAGAAAATGTAAGATTATAGAAAATTTTATAATTTGCAAACATTTCCCACCGAAATCAAATCATTTTGAGCTGCAAATTGACCCCCCCCCCATAACTACCACAAAGCCCACACAATCAACAAACACAAACCAAGATATTGTTAATGGCGAAACCTAAGCTATCCACCAACACAATTACGAATGGGATGTTGGGGTTGAAGAATAAAGTAGGCATACATAATACATAGATTCACTTTATTTATATATAGATTAGGTTAATGAATGCCTACAAAAGTTTCGGATTTATTGCTCGAAACACGTGCAATTTTACGAAAATTGATCCTTTTGTTTGTTATTTAATACATTTGTTAGATCTAAACTTGAGTATGCCTCTGTAGTCTGGACACCTATCTACGATACACACATAATATCTCTTGAGAAAATTCAACGCCATTTCATTAAATCAGCTACATTTTTAATTGTTGGCCGGTATCCTCCTGAAGGATTTCCTCAGGAAGCATTTTTCAAACGTTTCAATATGAGTAGTTTATCTCAAAGGCGCAAGTTAAATTATGTTTTCTTGTATAAGATCTTGAGTAATAAAATTATTTGTGAAGATATATTACGAATGATTGATTGATTTTCATATATCTAGAGCTTATGCCCGACATTTACACTTTTTCGTGGTCAAACATCATCGTACTAATTTATATAAAGGGTCTCCAGTTCACCAAATGATTATTATTGATTATTCTGAAATCCCGCATAGATATACTCTGTTCCAGTATCACTCAAATTAAAAAAAGTGTTACTTTAAATTTTATGTTTGTATAAGTACGTTTTTGCATTTGTTTGTATTGTATAATGGCGTTTTAATATTATTTGTCTGCTACCTGTTTGTTTTAGATATCATGTTTAGTGGTACTTATTTTGTTTTAAGAATTGTATCTCTGACATATTTTTATTACTTTCTTTTTAGTTTGTAACCTTATCCTGTATTGAGCATTGCCCGTTGGATATTGTATTTAAATAAATAAATTAGACATATAGTACACAGGGTGTAATAACGACAAACTATTAGGTATGATTCCCTTTCAAAACAAATAAAAAAGAAATAAGAGAAACGTTTTTTGATTTAAAATTATAAGTTCTTTCAAACATTGGACGTGAACATTTTTCGGTCAATTCCCTGGTAGCAAAATCTTGCACAAGACACTTATACAAGACTGCGGTCTACCTACTGCTGAAATCAGCATCAGGTTTACTGTAGATTCATTGTGCAATTGTCTTGATCAAAGCTTTCAATGCATTTGATTCAGGGTACTTGAGCACAAAGGGGTAAATTAAAGCAAGTGACTACGTTGCAGACTTACATTAAAGTTAAGTAAGACATATTGTACTTAACTTATACTATTTCACCCCTTTGGACTCGAGTACTTTTGGTTAAGTCTGGTGCAAGGTGCAAGTATTGTAAAAGTATCTTGCATAAACGATATAATTTCCAGCAATAGACACAAAACAATCTGACACAATTTGGCTATTTCAAGTAAACTTGAAACAACTTGTATTAAAATTGCACACGATTGTGCTACCAGAATTATTACCAATTATAACCATATAGATATCATAATTGCTACTATGCATTTTGATCATAGTAGGTAGCTACCTTTGTGTGAAAAAACAAAAAACTGAATCATCGAATCAGATGGAGTTTCAACTGTTACAAGAAAAGTTATTTAATGCCACATATAATCTTTCATAGATTTAGATAACCACTAGCGAAGTTTCTCTGGTAGTATTGCAACCAACATTCACAATTAAAAGTTCAAAATCTATGACAATATTGGGGCGAACCACAAATCAATTGTATTGTTTTAATCTCTCAACAATTAGGTACCTTGTATTTCCTAAAATATGAGCTCTAAACGTTCAACCAGTGGTGTACAACTGGACAGGGTCAACCCCTTTTTTATAAAAAAAAAACCTACACCACTGTATTTTTTACACGCTATTGTAACAGATTTATATTCTATTGCACAAAATACGTAAAAAAGGTAACTTGAATTTTTTCCCTAAAGTTCGCCGTTCTCAAGTTATTCATTCCAACACAATCCCCTTGTAGCAGACACTTCTAACCATAATATTATAAGAATATTTATGTTTATGTTTAAAAGTAAGTGCAACTTATTTGAATTATTAGAGGATGTACCATTAAATATACGACAAAATACTGGATACAAATGGATGGTGCTCCTTGAGAAGAATAATACATAAGACCAAATGCCAATGTCAACCATAATTGTGGACAGGGTCCAGTGTCTTGGCCAGCCAGATCGCCAGATCTAAACCCCCTGGATTTCTGTGTTTGGGGTTACCTATCTGAAAAGTAAAGTTTACTCCAATAGATACTAGACTACAACTACTATAGCGAATAGAACGCAGGTGTAATGAATTAAAAGAAAACCATCACATGTTATTAGCTTCAATTAGTTCCATTAATAAAAGATGTCAGAAATGTATGGATGTGGGTGGTTCACATTTTGAACAATTGCTGTAAATACGTAACGTTAATTTTGTTTCTTGTTTAGTTGTTGTTGCTTGGTAAATGTATTTTTATTATTATTTTGATTTAAATTGTTCTTATTTGTAAAGATAATGCCTCCAGGGAAAACTAAAACACACCAGGAACACTACCTCACAAGTGATGTGGAAAGAATTTTGTTGATGTGCTTACAAATTGCACTTACTTTTAAGCATAAACATAAATATTTTTGTAATATTATGATTTGAAGTGTCTGCCACAAGGGGATTGTATTTGTATGAATAACTTGAAAATGGTGAACCTTAAGGAAAAAATTCAAGTCACCTTTTTTACGTATTTAGTGCATTAGAATATAAATCCGTTACAATAACTTGTAAAAAATACAGTGGCGTAGGTTTTTTTTATAAAAAGGGGGTGACCCCTGTCCAGTTGTACACCACTGGTTAAACCTTTAGAGCTCATATTTTAGGGAATGCAAGGCCTACTATCGTACATTATTTGTACCAAATTTTATTGAGATCGGTTAATAGATTCCTGAGATATAAACAAAAAATATATTTTTTTAACAACTTCAACACCCTGTATCTCTAAAACGAGGCCGTTCCAGACCTATGTTGATAAGGCAAACTCCTATTATTTTAAAGAGATCTATTTGTCCTCGAAGTTTCCTGCATAAAATTCGGACCACCCTGTATATTTTATGCGAATAAACACCACGGTTGCGCAAAATTTTAAGTTATAACGATTTTGCCTATGCTCTCTTTCTGACAATACTCCTAACATTGTTATAAGTTCTGGTCTGGGCATTCATCAACGTGGCATTGTAAAAAAAAACTCACAAACCAAAATTTATAAAATGAGATTCTTTGCAACATCAAATAACTTATTCTGATAATTTTAGTCCTTCAGTTCAAGAATTTGCAGACGGGGTGAAACAGTGAAGATGTTTCAATCGGTAATTTCTTAAAGCCGGCTTATGACGTTATATTTAGAATTCAGAGTGGTACAAAAATATCAACAAAACATTTTGGATTCCAGAGAGGATTTGTGGAGTGTTACATATTCTAATTTGTACTAAATGCATACTAAATATGTCAAGCTTACAGTTTGTCAATAGTGAGATATAGGTGTTTTGTGTGATTAAATCCATGTATTGTATGTAGATTTACACTTAACACTTTTTGGTATCGCGATATATACAATAGGGTAAGAGGGTAAGGTAACAATATTCTATTCTATGTACTTTTACCACAGAGGAGTTACTCCATATCTACCTCCAACTACAAGTCATAATTTATTATTTCCAACATTTCTAATGAAACACGAAAAATAAAAAATTAATGATGCCACCCATTGACTTTTAGCACTTTATAACATTTTATGGAATTTCACCTAAGGAAACGACCCTATTGCAACACACGAATACTACAAATTTTGTTTGTTGTTTTTGCATTTTAAATATTTAAATATATTATTTATCTGAAATTTTTGTTATAAAAGTGTAACTAAATTGTCTGAGATTTTATTATTATATTGTCTGTTTTATTTTTTAATCATTTCTTGTTCGTTCATTTTTGGTTGGATATTTTTTATTTTGTTATTTTTTCCACTAGAACGTTTCCTTTATTTTCATGCATTTTTTATAATAAATGTATTTAATTTCAGTTGCTTTTGGGTGATTAATAAAAAAGAATACATTGTTTTTAGTTTGTTTCGACGAGAGAAGTAAGTTCTGAGAATTTATCACAACATTGTGTGTCGGACAAATTAAAATATTTTCTGTATTGTTGTTTCTAAATAAGTTTAAATGTATAAAAAATATTACGATTTTCGAAATTTTTATTATACCTTTTTCAGGCAGGCAGTTTGACAAGGACGGAAATATGATGCAGTGGTGGAACAATGCAACTATAAAAGCATTCAGGGAGAGAACCCAATGTATTATAGACCAGTATTCGCGTTACAAAATTGATGAAGTTGGACTTTACATCAATGGAAGAATGACACAAGGGGAAAATATAGCGGATAACGGAGGACTGAAGCAATCTTTTAGAGTAAAATATAAATTTTTACTATTTAATTAATTTACTAATTAACAGAAATAAGACAATATAAAACGTATTTTGTCAATCTACTTCATGCTAACAATTAATCAAAAAAATAACTGTAGCCTTTCTCAAAAAATTAAGAAAGAAATGGCAAAAGCTCACCGAAAAACTTTGAAAATATTGCATGAGAAGAAGCTTATTTTATCAATCTACTTCATGCTAACAATTAATCAAAAAAATAACTGTAGCCTTTTCGAAAAAATTAAGAAAGAAATGGCAAAAGCTCACCGACAATCTTTGAGAATATTGCATGAGAAGAAGCAAATTTTATTTTATTTTTTTTATTTTTTTATGTATAAAATTTTGATTTAAGTAAGCAAATAAAATTTATTTAAGTAGGTGTTGTGCTTCTAAAAGTTTGGTACATTTTCTGTTGACATATAGAGGCTTTATTTTTTTTAAATATTTGAAAACGATTATTGATGGAAGGACATGAAACTTTTGAATATTTTGGTGCCGTTCTGGTACGATTACAGGAGTTACTTTACACCCCCAATTTTTTATTGAATGTTAATCATAACTGCTCAAAATATTTTTATACAAAATTTGGTCAGTATTTATTTTGGTTTGCATGCTTCCGGGGCAGTTATCAAATTATTTCCAAGCGGTTGCTACGTCGTCGATTAAAATTCCTCGATGTTTTGAGATACATATCGCTCTCTTCTTCAGAAGAAACCCTGAAACTGGAGATGAAAGTCTCTGACTAGTACATTTTTATGTTTGCTGTGCTCACTGGTCCATGGCCTGTGACGAAGCAATCCTTGATTTTTTACGTAAAGATCAGCAAATGTAAACACAAGTTGATCCGTCCTTGAAATTATTTAATCCATATTTGCGGTTCAAATTTTGAAAAAACAATTTGAAATAAACTAAACTCGAAGAGAAACATCTGACTACCACATGAAAAAATTTGTTATCGAAATTTAATGGACGTTGAACGAGATACCTCAAAATTTTTGTGTTTCATGGAAAAATGTCCAACACCAGTGTTTATTTTGCTAAGGTCAGGGGCGGCGAAAAGAGTGAAACAATGAATCAGATATTTCAGTCAGCATTTTTTAATGGTGACTTATTAACCCATAATAATTTTAAGGTAGGTGTACGTATTAAGATTGATTATTGCCAATAACAAATTATTTGACTGAAAATATTGGGATTTTCCGTATGTAATTTTTTATTGAAGCACTTCTTTTTCAAATTATGACAAATTTGTAATTAAAAAAAAAACTTTTGTATTAATTGATATTTTTTGATATTAAATTGAAACTTTGTATGGACTTTTACTTTTTACCCCAGTTAGTGCATTTTATTATTCTCTTTTATTGATAGAATCCAAGATGTATTCGTGAAGGTGATGGATATTTTGATTTTTTATTTTTTAATATTGATTTCTTATATTTTTCTTGTTTTTTGAATTCCAATACTGAAATACCTACAGGTGACTTAAAATTTCGAATATAAATTAGTCTAATATTTTATATTGGATTAAGTGAAAGAACTTTAACCACTAATCTTGCCAAAGACGATATTTCCAACTGCATATAAAAAAGTTTCAATATGTTGAAAATTGAGCGCTCTAAATAAAAATAAATGGAAAAAGTTGATGGGGGGGGGGTTATGAATACTCTAACCTCCTTTCCTTCATTTGTGTGTCGATTTAACTAGAATTACACAAAAAGTCGGAACTTTAACACCCTGTATCTTGAAAGAGACATCTAAATGAAAAATTGCATAATGAAAATCCCATCATATTCGCTCAAAAATTCTGTGGTTAACGGCTTGACCTACCACTTTTTTATATAATACTTACCTATACTCCGCGGTCGAAATTATAGAGAGTGACTCATCGCTAGCTTTTGGACTAGTAAGGGGGATGTAGCGTGCCGGGAACGAAAATCCATTGGCGTGTTTGCGTAAAAGGCAACAAGATATAGAAAATATTGAAAAAAGATAATAAAACATAACATCTAATATTTTTTACGGTTTGCTATAACCGGCACTTTGATCCATTTTAATTATTACAGCATTTTAAAACGTCCCAGTTGTGTTATTTATATTTATAAATTTATTATAGCAGTGGAATTAGACCCCTCGTCTACGCTTATGCTATGACGTTTCTCAGGACGGCTAAATCAAGTCCGTTTACACCCACTAAAAAAGAATTTCCCTATTCCCTACCAAGTGCAAAAGACAGAGATAGAATATAGATCGACCTTCAGTGTAACTCAGTCTATAGACGATTATAGATTCTATCGATGTGCGTAGTGAGCGGCACAAAGATAAATAATATTGAACCGTTATAAAAATCATTTTATATTTTATGCGCATTATAGTAATAGTGTATTTATATTATGTCTTAGTCACTCTCTATAATTTCGACCGCGGAGTATATATATTTCAGATTCAGAATCGCACATCTCGAAAAACATTTTTAATCTAGAGTTTACATATGCTAATTGCAGTAAACTAATATTAAGCGTATCAACCTCTTTTTCCCAAAAGATTTGATTAAAATATTTATTTAGTATTTTTTTATTCTTGATTCGTTTGTGCTATAAAAGAGGTACATACCTAATATATCACTTCTTAAAAAAAAATCCTAATTTTACCAGAATTCTACTTCTGTCATATATCATAGAGGAGTTACTCAAACTCATTCTATGAATCATGAAAAACAAATAAGTAATTATGCTATTTATTGAATTTATTTTATCAGTACTTTAATATTTCTAATATTTATTTATATGTATAGCCACTCTTGCAATGTTGAGTAAAACATGACGGTTACAACAGAGCATAACGTGAATTAGGTACCTGTTTTGTTACACCAGTGAAAATGTGAGAAAATTGTCTGTTTTATTGGAACATCTGTTTTATTTTTTATAGAATGTTTTTATAACATTTTTTTGCTACTGTATTTTTTATTTGTTATTATTATCTATTGGGATGTATCTTGTATTTTTTATAACAAACTTTAAACCAACCTTGGTGGCACAATCGTGTGCAATTCTAATACAAGTTGTTTCAAATAGCCAAATTGTGTCAGATTGTCTTGTGTCTATTGCTGAAATTTATATCGTTTCTTATATGCAAGATACTTTTACAATACTTACACCAGACTTAACCAGAAGTACTTGAGTCCAAAGGGGTGAATTAGTATAAGTCAAGTACAATATGTCTTACTTAATTCTAATGTAAGTCTGCGACATAGTCACTTGCTTTAATTTACCCATTTGTGCTCAAGTGCCCTGAATCAAATCCATTGAAAGCTTTGTTCAAGACAATTGCACAATGAATCTTGCAGTAAACCTGATGCTGATTTCGGCAATAGGTACACAGCAGTCTTGTATAAGTGTCTTGTGCAAGATTTTGCTACCAGGGCAATTATTTGCTAAATACACAAATACCCAGGTCAGCCCTGGTTGGGGTTAAAATTTTGAAAAATCTATACTCTTGAGCAACAGATTTACTATATTTACAATTTATTGTATTATAACCGGAGAACAATCAAGTGTACAATTTCATGTCCTTCTCAACAAAATCAGAAGTTTTATGCCAGCTTCACCGCGTACATACTGTAATATGAAGTTTTTACTTATTTAAAATTATATATATTTTTTTATTATAATATTTTTGTTCCTGTTACTTTATTTTAAATGAATTAAGTTAATTCAAATTAAATCTAAAAATTTTCCTAAAAATCCTATCAAATGAATACATAGGCTCTTGATACAAATAATTTGAGTATGCTAAAGATATTTATGTATTTAAATTTTTGGTATCGAATAGTACATGACTACCTATATTTACCAAAATTCTTTGAATTAACTTAATAGGTTCTTTTATAGTAAAAAGTGTTTACCTGCTCTACACATTTTTAATCAACTCCACTGCATTAACAAAGCAATAAATTTTAATTTTGTTACTCTAAACTCTATTAGTTAGCGCGCCCACAATCAGCATTACTTAATAGGTAGCTTACACATAGCTACGTTTTCGACACACATGCACACAAATCATACCAACCTACCTCGGATCTAGCAGCCGGAAAAGCAGTCGCAAACTTCGCTACCTAATTTCCCTTCCCGCGCCAACCTAAGGTCCATCTTAGCATTGCACGACTTCACCCAAATCCATTATCCAGGTCATGGACGCCGCAAGTCGTCCGCGACCGATACTCCCGGGGATTTACCCAACAGCACTAGAAGGGTCTCGACCAAGCCAGGACAGGAGAAGGCCCCACGAATCCCACGAACCCGGCCACGTTAACAGCCCGGGATGACGGGGAAGGGGCGTGCCTCTACGCGGTGTCCAGATCTACAAAGATGGCATGGGTAAAGAGCGATAGTCCCGCTTAGCCCCGCCTCGTCCGAAGTCAATTTTTTCTGCTAAAGTTATTGGCGCGCTACGGTTTCGTATACTAATGTAACTTGCAAATCTAGACAAGCATTGTTATACATATAAATTACAAAGATAGGAACAGTAATCAATACTTCTTCGTCAGTGTCACAAACGCTGACTTGCATTCAGTTCCCAGTTCACACACTGATGGTCAGTCACCTTTTCACATGAACAGTAGCAAAATGAATGGCAAAAATTTATTGTGTACCCATATTTGAGACTTATACTACAATATACAGCATGTAGAGCTTTGCAAATGATAACAATAATAAAACCCTGATTCAGCATCTGCGAAAACTAATATCACAAAAGTGCTGACCACCAAAGCTATGTGAAAGCTACTATTTAAAGAATGCCAATTGACGGCATGATGAGCATCAGAGTATGTAGAAATAGGAGTAAAAATGATACAATCATTTACGATCAATATATTTTATGAATTATATTCTGGTTACAGGCATATAAGAAGTGGGTTTCTCATCACGGTCAAGAGCCAGCCCTACCTGGACTCAATCTAACTCATGACCAGTTATTCTTCCTCAACTACGCACAAATATGGTGTGGATCCATGCGACCTGAAGATGCTTTAACCAAAGTGAGATCCAGTGTGCATTCACCAGGACCCATCCGAGTTTTGGGACCATTATCAAATTCTTGGGATTTCTCAGAGGCCTACAATTGCCCTCTTGGCTCACCCATGAATCCCACGGATAAATGTAGTGTATGGTAATTAGCTGCAATTTGTAAAAACATTTATGATATAACAAAATCACTTTGTTTTGATGTATATTTACCAAATGCAAATGTTCCTTAATTGCGCAGTACTATGGTGCGCAGTAAAGTCAAATACATTTTTCTTATATCAAGATATTAACATTTTGAAACTTGGTGTAAGAGTTTTAATATACAGTTTACTCATGTTTGTTCAAATAGACTTAAATATGTATCTGTACCTATCATCTAAAGGTGGCATTGTGCATTAAAAATATTTAAATCATAAGAAATTTTTAATAAATTCTTTATAATAATAATCTAAATTTCTCTCTATCTAAAGAACATTAGTCCTTAAAACAGAACTGGTAGAGCATGGAAGTGACATAAGTATATAAAATTTGCTTTTTTACAATAATAAATCATTAAATATTGCTTTTATCTAGTCAAATTATTAGAATCAGGTACTGAAAGTTTTACAAAGTATGTACTCTATTACATAGGTTGTTCTAAAAGTTGAGTCATTTATTTTAACAACTGGTAGAACTCGTAAAAAAAGTCGATTTACCAAAAATCATTTATATAAAAGTTGCATAAGATTTACAAAAATCCTGTTTTACAAAAATTATTCAAAATTGTTAAAAATTGTTACCATTTATTTACCTACCATTAATGTTTTTATAACTCAGTGGTCGAAATTGTCAATAAATCAGGTTTGTATTATAAAGTTTTCAAATTTCAATTTTTTTAAATAATTGTTAACAATTGCTTTATTTGGCAACATTTATATAAACGATTTTTGGTAAATCGTCTTTTTTACGAGTTCTACCAGTTGTTTAAATCAATGACTCAACTTAGAGGCTTTTTTCGCGAGTGAAATCGTATGTTGTAGTATGTGTAGTATGAGTGAATGAAGAGATTTAAACTACCATATGACAACTAAGATCAAAAGAGATAGAAATAGTAACTGCAAATCAGATGTTCACCTATATTCAGTCGCGAAAAAAAACTAATATCGCATCCAATGTGAAACATCTGGTATAAAATTGTTTTTTCGATTTTTTTTGCATGTAAAAATAATTAAAATAACGACATAGTTTTTTTCTATTTTATAAAAATGTTTAGAAATGTTTAACACTCTTTTATATTTAATTAATTAATAATAGTGACATATATATTAATGACTCCTTCACATTTTTTGTTTTGTGGATACATAATAATAATACTAGTAATAATGCAACTTAATAACAAGATTGAATAAATTTCAAGAGAAATTAATAACATATGTATTTAAGTCTTAGTTCATTTTGCTCTGTACATACAATTCTAAAATGACTGACTGAATAAATGAATGTTTTTCAATTTTACTGTAAAATTTTCTAAATATCTTGAAGAATATATACCTACAGAAATACTAAATATTTATTGTAGCATCTCAAAATTACTATGTAATTTTAAAAATTTAGAATTTATGTGAGAAAAAATTCGAATTAAATTTCTAACTATTTATGAGTTATAAAATATTAGAATTTTTGGTTTTTGATTTGTATAGAGTGCCCCAATAATTGAGTTATAAAATTGTCCGGTAATGTTTAGAATACTTCTTTGCTATATCTAAATAGGCTACAACTGATGCAGTTCAAAATTCATGAAGCAAAGATATTATTTAAAGAAACTATATTTTTAGCCTATATTTAAAAAACTATAATGACGTTTGTCTTCTTTATTGGAATACTCTGTACATTATTTTTTTAAGAAATTAAAAAAAATTAATTTATTGAACTATTGTACTCAACCATAATTTAAAAGTGATTTTAGGTTCTTAGCAATGCGGCTCAGGTTTTTTTTTCTAGATTTTCATAATTTACTAGAGGTGAGATAGAACTCAAATTTTGCTTAAACTCGGATCCACTTCTAGTTAATTTTCAACTCAGAATGAGCAATGAGCCTTAGAACACAAACAGGACTTAGTTTAATTTTGAATTTCACAGACTCTGTGAACTTGACTTTAAATTCAGTTTAAGAATTTTCTTGAGCCACATAGCTATAAATTGTATATTATTTTTATTTTTTATACATTACCTTCTTATTCAACTGTTCTGTAGTAAATATATGTTAAATATTAACACTAGTTTTATTTAAATATATAT